GTTTAGTCTAGGCGCTAGTTATGCTGATTAGTACGACGTGGGGCGCTGCAACCCTGAGCGGCGGCCGTTTGGATATGAGAATTGGAAACAGATTGGAGTCAGGAAATGGTCTGGAGACGGTTTGGTTGAATAAAAGGCTTTCGTTATGCGCCGAGCGATCTGCTGACGGTACTGCTGAATCTGTCCCATGGGCAAGTATTGTGACACCCATTTGCTTCTTCGACTCCACCCACGTTCCTGCATCATTGCACCCAGACATCCCGCCCAGATAAGCCGTCAAACGTGTACTGTTTTTGCACAGCAATTGAAAATCTCGGCGCCGCGTTCCCGCTGGGCGTATCTGGCTAGTGGGCAGTTGTGGTAATGCGCGGCCGGCTGCTGGCGTGTCTCGATTTTTCAGAGTGGGTTACCCGCGCGGAGATGGGTGGTGTGTTCTTGGAGGTTCATGGGGTCCAGAAAGTTTCACCCATGGACTACGTCGCGGCAGGCCCTGTTATATACCAAGTGCAGCACGTCGTAGGGTCCGCTCCTAAATCACCCGCAACTGCTCCGCATGGCTTGCCCGAGGTCAAAGGGAAAGGGTCCCATTGATGCGACATTATGCTCCAGTTCCATATTAGTGGAGACGATCGCAGGTAGCAGCCCTATCTGAGCCTCCGGGGCAGCCTACAAACAGCCTGGCCGCAGTAGCACCCAGATAATTATGGAGAACACATGAACACGATCAACGGGTGCAGTTGTCACACAGATAGCAGTACGGTATTCTAGACTAGAAACAAGGGAGCCCTGGAGTCGCGTGCCAGCTCAATCACATGCAGACGAGTGACTAAGTCGCGGCACCAGCCACACTAGGTCTCTCCTCCACCCTACACCGCATCCCGCATCCTTCGCTCAACAACACACGACAACACCACCCACACCCGCAACAAGCCCCTAGACACTCGTCGCCTCGCTCTCCCCAGCAGCCCCATACCACCCCATACCGATCCGCCACCTCTTCCGCCCAAAAAGTCGCCCATCATGGTTGTATGTACCATACTCCTCTACGGTGCCTACTACTTTGTCGGTCGGACCACCGAGTCGCATGCTCCCTAGCTCACACAAGTAACAGCTCGGCAAAGTCGCACATTACGCCTTCGATGCGGTATTAAGTACGTGCACTGGAAACACGCCTGCCCAATCCATCGCTAACACTGCTTCAGTATCCGCCTTCCTTGCCGGCGTCCGACGCTCGACTGGCCTCACGTATGTTCCCCCATCCCACCCCCCCTCGTTAAGCGCCACCCACCTCCTCTCCACACTCCATCTCGGGCCATCTCACAAGTACCCTATAACTACACGATCGGAGCTAAAGCTAAACCCAGTCCCAGTGTAAAGCCAGATACATTCGGCGAGAACCCCAGCGCCCAGAAGTGGTTTGAAAGCTACCTCTGGGTTGGCGAGACAGTCATGGACTCGAGTGTAGCATTTTTCGGCTCCAGCTCCTACTTCGAGCGCAAGCGATAGATGCCTCCATATCGAATAGGATCAGGTCACAGCGACGCGGTGTGCGGACAATGAAACGCCGCGAAAAGTGGGCGGGGCGACTGGAGCTCTGGAAGCTTGCACTGCGCCGGGTGGACTGGGTACAGTCTGGGAATATCTACATGGCACGAAGTTGAATGAAGACCCCGGCTTCGAAGTTCTACCTCGATGAGCGGGCAGATGGCGTTGGGGCGCTATACCATTATCTATGAGATTACGAATCAAAACCACTTCAAACACACGCATCCTTCGCTTCCGGTAATCGAGGTCTACTGCGGTGGAGTGAGTTCCCGTGCTGGGGCAAGGCAACACAACGCTTTTAAATATCACAATTGACGATGCAGTTGATATCTAACCCACTATCGCTACACTCCTTCCAGGGTATCATGCACGCATACATATAAATCGAGAAAACATCGGTACAGCAAAAATGTGTTAGGTCCTCCGCTTGAACCTAAACCCTGTCTCCTCATCGTCGCTGTCATCATCCCTCCTCGCAAACCTCCCCTTCTTACTAGCAGGCTGCCCGCTACTTGCGGTCGCCCCAGAACTCCTCTTCTTTCCCCTTTGTGTCGTTTGCGTCCCTTCGAGTTGCGTCTCCACAACCCTTTGAGTCCGCCCACTACTCCTCTGCGTCCGCTGTTCCGGAACTTCCTCTTCATCGTCTGGGCCGCTGTCCTCAACGTTGATGACTTCCTGTTGTGGCTGGGACTGCGTTGTTCGTTTTCTGCGAGTGAAGCCACCGACTTCTGGTTCCGAGTCGGAGTCGGGTGCTGCAGTACGACCGCGTCGGCTATGGTGTGAGCGACCAGAGGGTTCAGGATCTTCGAGGAAAAAGGCCTCGGTGATACCATGTGTCTTCTTAGAGGGTGCTTCTTCAAGTGTGACGAGGACTTTTTGGCTTTGGACGCCTTGTTCCGCACCGCGGCGACGGAACTTCTTGAAGTTTTTGCGACCGTTCCATTCGTCGTTCCAGCGCACACTGTTAGTCTGACTTTGGTTGCGTGCCGTACTTTTGTTTTGTCGGGGTAAAACGTCCATCACCTCTACTTTGGCCAGATTCTTCAGCTCGGTGATATCGATGCCCTCGAGTGCTTCCCGTAGACTGTCTTCATCCGCCTTACGACGTTCCTCTTCTTCTTTGATGCGCTGACGCGTATGCTCACGGATGTTAATGTCTTTCTCGGCTTTCTTCTCTGCTCTGTTGAGCCGCGCAAGAGTCTCCGCGCCTCTTTTCGCTGGTTTCTTCACAGAACCCCCTTCTTCTGGCTCGACAGATGCTGATGGTGCGCGGGTAGCCGCTCTCTGCTTCCTCATCCTAGCGGCGGTAGGGAACAGAGTATCCATCTGCGCTTCTTTCTCAATCGTTGATTGTACGTGTAATTGCGGAGAGGCTTCCCGTTGTGCGCCTAGTGTAGTACGTGCTTGCGAAGCAGACTTTGATGGCCCTGGAGGCGATTCAGACTGCTGAACATCTTCCATATGGGTATTCTCAACCTTGAGCTTCTTCTTCGGAAGCGGTTCGTCGTCATCGTCAAAACCAGTAAAGCGGCTCGTTTTAGGTCGGTGTATGCGCTTCCGTGGAATGGTCTTCGCAGGTTCTTCCGCTGGAGGTGTGCTCTCTTCAGGAGCCTGCGATGGTGCTCTGGATCCAGACGTTGGTGTTGGTTGACGCATGGAACGTCGAATTGTCATAGTTTCTGGTGCAGGTGCAGGAGTATTCACTTCTGCGGGCGGCCTTTGTATTGTGGTGCGATCTTTCGTGATGATTACGTCGAGAAACTCATTCTGTAAGACTGAGCGCTGACCGAGGGCCTGATCGACCCCAATGACAAAGTTTGTGGCCCATTCTTCCATCTCGTCAGGGTACGCTGGTAAGCGCACTGTTATAACGGGAAGCTTATCACCAGGTTTGCCGCGCCGCTTCTTCCCTGCTACGCTGTGAACGTAGTCGACGTACTCTTCTATTGTTGTCTCGCCCAATCGTATATCGTATAGTAGTGCTTTACCGCCTCCGCCAGTGACAGGATCCAGCAAACTGCTGTATTGACCTTCGTTCAAAAATACAAAGGTCAAGCCTGAAAATGTTTCTGACCGTGAGGGATCAGGCAATAGCATCTCCTGTGGTCGCGCAACCGGTTCTGCGCCCGCTGCTGGTATGTATTCCTTCTCCGCTGGCCACCATGCGTCAAAGTCCTGTTCCAGCTTCGAAGGCAGGTAATTGTTGTCTTCGTCGACCGATGGCGCTGCGACTCCGAGGACTGCATCGAGATATTCTGTAGTGACGATATGTTTGGCGGAAGTGAGACCCGAGAGGACTTTGGGAAGGTTTCGTTTCGCGGATATGACGTGAGTGGTCTGGTTGAATACGAAGTCGGCTGTGGTCTTGATATCCAGGGCATGTAACTGCGCACTTTTGATTTTGCTTTCTCTTGACTCTTTTGAAGCATAAGTGAAGACGATTGGGCGCCAGACAATTCTGAAAGGCGCATAGCTAGCAGCCAGTCTGATGGTATGCTCAGTGCCCTTCAAAGTCTCACGGCTGTATTCTATCGATCCGTCGGCTGCCTTCTGGCTCTTTACAGTCGTCTTGTCGTCAATCGTAATTCCTTGCCTACAACTCAAGTCGGTCACCTCAATTTGCGACCTCTTGTGAAGCTTCGTGCCGTCCTCTGGTGCTGCGTCGTAAACCTTCAGCATAACATGCTTGCGCGAGACGGCCTTGTTATCTATCTTCCAATTGGTTCCTTGTGGTCCGTCTTTGTCGTCGGACTTGGTTCGACCAAACAGTTGCTGTGACCCAGGGCGGAGCCAGACGCGCTTGCCTCCGAAAAGGCTCTCGTGCTCTAAGAACCACATGTTTGTGGTGTTGGGTAGGGAGGGATCACGAAGCGAGTGGGATGGCGGCGGACAAGATGCGCATTGTCGTCTTCGCCGTAGGACTGCGATCGAATTTGTCTCGGGTGGTGTTGGCTGCCTTCACAGTTCTAGGCTGAAGCAAGTCGAGCCCATGCGCGGGGTGACGCGCTGTCATGTGAGACGCTAACGCTCTTCTCGACGATCTCTCAGCAACCACGACCAGACCTTAACATCGTTACCGTCACGCTATTTTGGGCCGCGATCTTCGACACACATTCAGTTCACTGCCAGGATAATAAGATTCCTATGAGTGCCACTTGTGTGGGTTCATGTATTCACAGTGGACGGCGACCCAGTAGTGATAAAATTGAGGCTGAAGAATCTATAATCTGATCGGCCAGTAGAACGCGACAATCCACCTATAGAGGCGCTGCCCTACGTGGTTGGCAACAGGTACATGCACGGCAATATGCCAAAAAGAAAGAGTACGGGACAGCAAACACCAACCTATCATAAAATGAACAGACAGCGGCCAATGAATCTGGAGAGCACCAGCATTGTACCTTCTTCTTCCATCTTCTCTCCCAGCCTCTACTCTAAGAGCATCCTACAAAGCTCTACGCCTGACCTTGCGTTGTTTGCTCGAACGCAGCACTCTTCTCTCTTTCCTCCTTAATCCGCTGTGCGTACGAGCTTCGAGACCTGATGCTAGGACCCCACTTGTAGATGAAGAAGACCGGGGCGCATACGAGGGCGGAGACCGCAAACAAGACCCATGTCGAATTCTGGACACCGAGCTTCTTGTACATTGGCCCGGTGTAGAAGGAGCATAAACCCGCAAGGACATCTCGAGCAAAACCATTGCCGCCGGTGGCTGATGCTGAATAAGTTCCTCCGTAAGCGGCGACCATGTAGTCAATGGTGGCAAAGTAGATGGCAAGGTTTGCGCATCCGATTAAGACGGCGAATATGAGGGGTGCGATCCATGGCAGAGGCGGGCCAGTAACTACGAATGCGGAGCCGAACAAGCCGATGGGAAGAAGCAGTACGATCCATCGGAGGGCTGACAGTCGGCTCTCAGGGCTGAGCACTTGACCGTTGCCACGCTGCTGGTTGTGTCGTCGTATGACTGGGTAATACAGCACTGCTGCTAACCAGTAGCCGATGAAGAGGGCAAACAAGGCGAGTCCTAGCTGACTAGGAGTAAAGCCCCAGCCATCCTTCCCGAACACGTACCCGTACGATTCCAAGAAGCTGAAGATGAGTGCGTCGCTGAATCCACTGAGCAGTGACAGGAAGCCAACGATTGGTTCGCAGACTAGCATTTTGTATGGACGACCCATGATCCTGAGACAAGCCATGAAGTCAAGCTTCTCGTGTTCGGTTGGCCCAACGACGTTGGCCTCTGGGTTTTGCTTGCGGCTCTTCTTAGCTTCCTTGTTGAGCATGACCGTCGACCTGGTCTCGGGAACATAGACGAAGTGGATGAGCTGGACTGTGGCCCCAAGAATGAGCTGAATCCAGAAGTTCCATCGCCAGTGAAGGAACTGCTCGATACGGCCACCGCAAATGCCACCGATGACTGAGCCTAGACAGCTCCACAAGCTGACCCAGAGGATAGGGAGTTGTTGCTCTTCGGGATCGAACATGTCCGCAACCATTCCGAGGGTTACAGAACCACCTGCGGAGCAGAGACCGCCGAGCAGGCGTGCAGCCAGTACATGACTCCATGAGGTACTGGCACCGGCCATGATCTGCCAGATGTTGACGGTGAAGAGTGACAGCTGCATGATGGGTTTACGTCCGAACTCTTCGGACCAGGGTGCCCAGAGTTCGCAACCGATACCGTATAGGATCAAAAACCATGCCATGCCAGCCCTGGCGTTGGTGAAGTGGTTGCTACCCAGGTGGTAGTGTTCGTTAAGTGGCCCTATTGCGTTGGAATAGACCGCTGCGTTGTAATTCATGCTGGTTTGGCAGAGTCCGACTACCGTCAGGATTGCCCACTTGCGCTTGTTCGTGAACGCATATCCCGTGTTCTTCTTCGAGTTCGCCTCAGTAAGCATTAGCGGGCCGCTGGGTTGGGCTTGATCTTGGTGGCTTTGTGTTGGGACCATTTCGATCGCATCTGCAGCTTCCTTCTTACGACCAGGAGAGCCGGAGCTTGCATCGCTGTCGTTCCTGACGTATGTCGTCATGGTGTTGATGGTTTTGGTAAGGCCAGACAGGATAATCGAAGGTTGCTGGTGCAGGATGGTAACGTTGGGCTTAATTCAGCTGCGTACAGTATATTTGGTATCCTGGGGTAAGTGAACGTTGGAAGAAGAGGAGCGGGCAGACGATAGATCTTATGGCCGCCATGCACGACGAGAAACATGGGATGAGAGTCTCCACTATGCTTACTACAAGGCCCATCTAGTCCTAATGGCATCGACTAGAGTCTATGTATGCAATGGACGACGCTGCAGTGGACCCCGTCCATAGAAGCGCCAGACGGCCCGCCCTCGCTACCATGGTTGCTCGACAACGCCCGCACATGTTCGCATATGATGATGCCTCTCTAGGCCGCTCAATACAGGGCGAGGAACTCTCATCAACAGTCGTTGGTCATTTCTATGAAGGTTCTTGTAAAAGTGCTTCGCCATGACTCCAAACTCGGAGCCTCTCAACGCAACTGCAGCTCGACAAACTTAAGTTCGCGAGCACAGCCATTTCTCGAGAACACGGAAGTTCGGTTCGGAATAATGCGGGGAACCATGAACGTATCAGTATTGCAAGTACATGATGCGTCTATACCCCTTCGCTCAATGTTAGGGTACCGCCTTTACAGCTTTAGGTCCATCCGGGGATAGCACGTGAGCAGGACGTACTTTGCGTACCATCTTTACAGCTATTTTGTCTATTCAAAACTCCGCCTATTGGCTTGGAAACATAACTTTGCAGGTCACATGAACGTAGCCCCGTGACTGTTACGTTATGTCGAACCTCCATTGCTTCACCTACTCCACCTACACAACCGACCTTTCAGTGCGAATCAGATACTCCTTCCGTCTCAGCATCACTCTCATCATCCCACTTCCACTCCTCATTCGTCCACGCTTGCAACGGCATCCAGCTCTCTCCTCTCTTGACCTCAAATTCCTTTTTCAGATCTTGGAAGTGTACCTCCAGTTGATCTCTCAGTTGCACGAGTGACGTATCCTGTTCATCTACTGCGCGGGTTAAATGGGTGAGGTTGCGGGATGCATGATCAAACAACCCACCGTCCTCGACAGGTTTGGAAAGAAATGACAGTGGTGGCGAGTTGGCTGACGTAGAGAAGGCGGGTTCGTAGCTGTAGCATGTTTTTGGGGTGGATAACTTGCGGTCTTGCAATGTCTTCGGATCTAACTTGGAAAGGCTTGTCGCGTCAGGGTCTAGATGCCTCAAAGTATCTTCGTTAATTTTCGCATCGCAAAGGCTCATTGTATTCATTGATGAGTTATGGCTGTTCCGCACCTTGCTGTCGTTGATGTTTCGTTCCGGATACAACACTTGCTGTGAATCATGACTTTGTGTCGACATGTCTGTGTGCTGTCTTTGGTGGCGTATTGGTAACACTAAAAAGTTACAGCACAGAAAGCAGAGCAGCCTTACTTGTATAGAGGCTGCAAACGAGAGCGATGTTCCAGCAAGCAGTTAACAGAGTCCCCTAGACACTACTCCTTGTTAGGGTTTGCTGATGACAAGACCAGAGTTGCTAACAATCAATCCAAACTGATGAGACTGACTGACTGACTGATTGCTTGGCAGTCAGTTCAGTGTCAGTTTAGAGCTCTCGTCTTATCAGTCAGTTCAGTTTAGAGCTCTTAAACT